CGGGCCGCCGAGGGTGGGGGTGGGGGTGGTGGCAGCCCGAGGACACGCAGGACAGGGCGCCCGGAGCGGAGCGGGCGGTGACTCATCACCGGGCGCCGCTGCCCTGCTGCGCCCCTGCTGCGCCCCTGCTGCGCCCCTGCTGCGCCCTGGGGAGGAGCGCGCCCGGGCTTTGACAGCGGGCCGCGGTGGGGCCCGCACCCCCGCCTGGCTCGCCTGGGACCAGGCCTGGAGGGAGAGGGCGGAGAGCCGATCCACACAGGGACAGGGTGAGGCCCCCACCCCAGCCCCCACTCCGCAGCTCCTGGTGTGCTAGCCTCTCCAGCCTCTCCCCAGGCCGGCACAATGGGCAAGGAGAAGACGCACATCAACATTGTGGTCATTGGTCACGTGGACTCCGGCAAGTCCACCACAACCGGCCACCTCATCTACAAATGCGGGGGCATCGACAAGAGAACCATTGAGAAGTTCGAGAAGGAGGCGGCTGAGGTGAGGGAGGGGCCCCCGCTCCAGCCCTGGCCCCTGGAACACGGCTCTCCTCCTGGGCACCCGGGTCCAGACCAGAGAAGATGGCAGGGGGGACGATGGGGGGGAGGGGACATTGCGTGGCCAGATTTGCCCACGGGGGGTTGGACCAGGGAGGTGAGGTCCCTGCTCTGCTCAGGCCCGGCCTTGGAGGGCTAGTGCTTCGCAGGCCCCTGAGGCCTGAAGCTGGGGCTGGGCCTGGTGCTGCCCTTTCTCATCCCAGGACCAGGCTGGGGCTCAGGGCTGCTATTAATAGCTGATTGACGGGCAGCTGGCCTGCACATCCATCTCCTCAGGCTGGGGGGAGGGCTGCCTGCCCCCGTGCCTGCCCAGAGCAGGGCTCCAGCGCCTTCTGAGGATGAGGGGGCTGGCGCGCTCCCTCCTCCCCCCTCCCCTCCCTCCTCCCCTCCCTCCCTCCCTCCTCCCCTCCCCCGTCTCTCTGTCTGTCTCTGTCTCTCTGTCTTTCTCTGTCTCTCTGTCTCTGTGTCTCTGTCTCTCTCTCTGTCTCTCTCTGTCTGTCTTTCTCTGTCTCTGTCTCTGTGTCTCTGTCTCTCTCTCTGTCTCTGTCTCTCTGTCTCTCTCTCTCTGTCTCTCTGTCTGTCTCTGTCTCTCTGTCTTTCTCTGTCTCTGTCTCTCCCTCCTGGCTGAGGCTGGTGAGTGAGAAAGAGCCAAGATCAGGGTCTATCCTCTGCCCCCATCCCTGGGCTTTGAGAGGACTTTGTCTAGCACTTTGGCCTGAGGCCCTGCCACGGTGATGGACAGGGTGCTCTGTCCACCACCCTGTGCATCTGGCCCGAGAGCCATGTCCCCACCCTTGGCACAGGGGTAGGGCAAGCGGCTGCGCCTGTCTTGAGTGGGTGCTCGGGGACCAGCAGCTTCCCCAAGGGCAGACGTCTATCCATGGAGGTTCTGGAAGCTTCCCCAAGGGCAGAGGTTCTGGAAGTTTCCCCAAGGGCAGATGTCTGTCCATGGAGGTTCTTGCCCAGCCCGGGGGTGGGGGTAGGGGTGGGGTCCCACAGTTCCCAGGCACCCAAGTGTTTGTGAAAGGCTGCCAGCTTTGATCCTGGGGGTGGAGGGAGGAGGGGCGCCTTTGAGCTATTGGAGAGCAAGGCCTTCATCAGAACCGCATCCAGTTTTTCCTTCCCTTCTTGTTATTAAACATAACACAGATGGCCTTTTGTTGGACAGCCACAAATCCATGGTGTGACTGCCTCTTGTTGATGAAGGGGTGAGGAGCACCCCGTTTCAGATGAAGGGGAGCTCTCCACTCGGGCGGGGGTTAGCAGGGCCTGTCAGCTTCTAGGCCCTCACGCCACCTGCTGGTGGACTTGGGTGGCAATGACCTGTCAGCACCCAGTGGGCTGTGGCTGCATTGAGACAGGCCAGGGCCAGTGTCCCGGGGCCCAGCCGCCTTTCATGGGCTGCGCCCAGGGCCTGGGGCCGGCCCAGCAGGGAGGCCAGGGCCCTGGGACCCTGCCCTGAGGCCCCTATTTCTCCAGATGGGGAAAGGCTCCTTCAAGTACGCCTGGGTGCTGGACAAGCTGAAGGCCGAGCGGGAGCGCGGCATCACTATCGACATCTCCCTCTGGAAGTTCGAGACCAGCAAATACTACATCACCATCATCGACGCCCCAGGGCATCGGGACTTCATCAAGAACATGATCACTGGCACGTCCCAGGTGGGCAGTGGGGGGGCGCCTGGGGACCCCGTCCGTCCAGAGCACTGGCACGTCCCAGGTGGGCAGTGGGGGGGCGCCTGGGGACCCCGTCCGTCCAGAGCACTGGGGACTCACAGAGTCCCTGAGAACTGAGTCAGGGCCCAGATCTCAGCCTGCGTCCAGCACTATGTGCTGGGACCAGACAGATACAAAGCCAGGATAGAGACAGGATGTGAGCAGACATTCAGACAGTCAGACTACACAACCAGATGTTCCTGGGGGCACCCATGGACGGACGGACAGACGGACAGAGGGACAGAGACTCATCCAGCAGCACCCAGGTGGTAGAGTGGTTCCCAAATCTGGGTCCCTCGATGCAAGCCTTGGTGAGAGAGCTTCCCTGTCCTCCACCGACAGCACAGCCTGTGTGGTGGGGCCTGCGGGGGGCAGAGGAGGCTCACTGTGCCCCTACTCGCAGGCGGACTGCGCGGTGTTGATCGTGGCTGCAGGCGTCGGTGAGTTTGAGGCCGGCATCTCCAAGAACGGGCAGACCCGCGAGCACGCTCTGCTGGCCTACACGCTGGGCGTGAAGCAGCTCATTGTGGGCGTCAACAAGATGGACTCCACGGAGCCTGCCTACAGCGAGAAGCGCTACGATGAGATCGTGAAGGAGGTCAGCGCCTACATCAAGAAGATCGGCTACAACCCAGCCACAGTGCCCTTCGTGCCCATCTCGGGTTGGCATGGCGACAACATGCTGGAGCCCTCACCCAACGTGAGTACGGGGGCGGCCGGGGGCGCTCCAGTGCCGGTCAGGCCGAGTCAGGGCTGAGCAGGGTCAGTGCAGCTGACCCACAGCGCTGCTGTGTCAGACACGGGCCTGGGGGTGTCTGTCTGGTAGGGGGGCCGTCCTGGGGGTCCCCCCGTGTGGCCTTCACAGCTGGGGAGGGGGCAGCCAAGGGCTCTTCTCTTGCTAGGTGTGGTCCCCGACTTGGCTCCAAGGGCAGCAGTGGCCAGGCACAGGATTGAGGGTCTTGGCCCCAGAATCCTACGAGAAGGAAGATGGCTTTTCGCAGGCATTGTCTTGACCCTGGACTTTGTGCAGGGTCAGCCAGGCCCCGGGGCTCGTGGGCTGCCCGCCCTGGAGTGTGGAGGGTGGGCTGGACTCTGAAAAGCGTGTTGGATCCTGTGCTGGACAGGACGGTGGAGGGTTGGCTCTGGTGGGGAATCTGGGGGGCCTGAGGCTGAGCAGCCTGCAGTCCAGGGCTGGTCACAGGTGGGGGGCTGTTTTTATGGGGACGGGGATGGTGCTCCTAACTGTCCATCCAGAGGAGACCCTGGTCCAAGTCAGGCAACCACCAAGGGGGGTGGCACGGAATTGGAGCGCTAGAGGTGGTCAGGAGCTTTGGACCAGCTGCACAGAGCCCACAGCTTCGATCTAGAGACTGCTCACGGGGTGAGGGTGCTCTAGCCCACCTCCATGTTGCTCTGCTAGGTGTTGCTTGCCTGCGGGCCATACCGACCCTCACACATGTCACAGCAGACAGGCAGGCTCTCTACCGTCCCAAGGAAGCCCCTAACCAGCAGGGACCCCTTGTTGGCACTTGCTGTGAGTTTGTTGTGACCAGTGCCAGGGCCTGACTACCCACGGTGGACCCGGGGTGTTGGCATCTGCTGTGAAGACAAGGGCAGGAGGCACAAGGCCCCTGTCTGTCCCTGTCCATGGTAGGGCCCCGGGGAGCTCCATGCAGGGAGGACTCACTGTCTGCCCAGGGTGGAGTGCCCAGCCTGGAGACACCATGGAATCCAGAAGAGCTTCTGGGACTGGAGCATCACTAGCTAGTCCATGGCGAGGCCACTCACCGGACTCTGTCCCTTTCTGCCCAGCTCTTGTCTGGTTCAGGAGCCTGCTGGCCACAGGCTTGGGAGCTGCGGGAGTCAGACAGGGCTGGGATTCTTCACGGGTCAGATGCTCTCTAGAGAAGTCTGGGCTGAGGTGCAGGCCTTTTCTCTTTGCTCTTCCTTAAGATGAGTTGGCCCAGGGTCCCTGTGGTTGAGGACGTGAGCAGAAAGGTGAGTTGTGAGTTGTCCGGTGCCGGGCGAGGCACAAAATCATGGAGCCAGGGCTGAGCAAGGCGCTAACGCCTGCAGTCAGAGGAGGCAGGTGCGCAGGGCCGTGGCTGTAGGCTCGCCTGGCAGAGAGTTTTCAAGACCTCATCTCACCCAGTAAAACGCTGGGAGGGTGCTCGGGCCATAATCCTAGCTGCTTAGGAGGTGGAGGTCTGAGGATCAAGGTCCAGAGCCAGCTCAGGGAAGACAAATCTGAGAAACTTATTTCCAATTAAACAGAAAAAAAACAGAACCAGAGGCAGAGTTCAAGTGGTAGAACACCAGCCATGAGTGAAGAAGCTGAGCAAGAGCTGTAAGCCCTGAGTACTGACAAGGATCACACACACAGACACACACACAGACACACACACAGACACACAGACACACACACAGACACACACACAGACACACACATACACCCATCACACACGAACACAGACACACAGACAACACACAGACACACACACAGACACACACAGACACACAGACACACACGTACACCCATCACACACGAACACAGACACACACACAGACAACACACAGACACACACACAGACACACACACCCATCACACACACACACACAGACACCCACATACACCCATCACACACAGACACAGACACAGACACACACACCCATCACACACACACAGACACCCATCACACACACACAGACACCCATCACACAGACACACACACCCATCACACCCATCACACACCCATCACACACAGACACCCATCACACACAGACACACACCCATCACACACAGACACACACACACCCATCACACCCATCACACACCCATCACACACACACCCATCACACACAGACACACCCATCACACA